AACTACCTTATTAGAAATGAGAAGACTGAGGCTCGGGGAGGCTCTGTCACTTACAGAAGGTCACACAGCTGATAAGGGGTGCAGCTAGACTTTCAAGAGTAATCACCTAGTGATAACTGTCAAGACCTTTAATTGGGCCTATAATTAGATATCCTTCACAATATCCAGGAATACTAGAGGCAGGGGTATAAGAATTTCTGTGCTCCACCTTTGCTTATTCTCTAACGTATACCCTCTGTTTTAACATAATACATGTAGTCATTCTCCATCTAAATACCATCTTTCAGTTTTCAACCCTCCATTCTGCATCCCTGATCAAAGACGCAAATGTGTGGTCTTTGATGAAAACCCAGGAACCTCACTAAACTTGCACACCATGCCATCAGTTACCCTTGCCTTCTCCTCATTTTAAGGGAGAAAACTTAAAATGACAAGGGCACCTGGGTGACTCAGTCAGCAAAATGTCCGAATCTTGATTTTGACTCAGGTCATGATCTCACAGGTTGTGAGTTCAAGCCCCACATTGTACTCTGCACTGACAGCATGGAGCCTGCTTGGGATTCTCTCTCTCCCCCCCATCTCTGCCCCTACCCTGCTCACTCTCTCTCTCTCAAAATAAATAAACTTAAAAAAATTTAATTCAAATGACAAACCTATAGATATACTTAGAGGTTGCCATCAATCTGGATCATAACCCACTGAGCTACAAAACACCTTCTATTAGCCCACTGCTCTCACTCTGATTAACCCATTACTAGACAGAAAATTTATTCTGAAATAGGACCTCTTCGTGGGTACTCTTGACTGAATTGTATCCCTCCAAAATTCATACGTTGAAGCCCTAACTCCCAATATTTGGTATTTGAAAATGGTGCCTTTGGGAGATAATTAGATGAGGTCATGGTATTAGCGTCCTTATGAAACAACAGAGAACTTGCTTGCTCACTCTCTCCAACATGTGAGGACACAATGAGTATGTGTGCATCTGCAAGCCAGGAAAAGAGTTCTCACCAGAACCAGATTATGCTGACACTCTGATCTTGGACTTCTAGCATCTAGAACTGTGAGAAAATAAATGTCTATTGTTTAAAACACCCAATCTAATGTTATCCATTACAGTAGACCAAGCAGACAAAGATACCTGGGATGTCAAAGACTAAGATATGTTGATTGCATTGGAATTCTTCAAATATCCACAAATATTAGAAAACACTACATGGGTATATGGCTCTCTAAAATGAAAACAATGATTAAAATAGTAATAGTCATTGAGTGCCTACAATATTCCATTTAAGTCACATTATCTCCAGTTTCCATCATAACAATGTGTTTTGTCCTTGCTGTGAGTCCAGAGGCTTAAAGAAGCTGTCCAATATGACAGCAAGTCCATGGTAGAGTGGGGATCCAAACAAAGGTATGTTTGAATTCAAAGTATGTGTTCTCTACCTTTATCAATTTTACCTTTCTATTAAAAAAAAAGAAAGAAAAACACACATTAGGCTTTAACAAAGTCAGAGGTAACCTTTACTTTAAGTACAAAGTTGCTTAACTAACATGATAAAGAATTCTACTCAGCCCCAAATATCTCCATTACTCATGCCTGAAATTCCACTAACATTGGTTCACTTATTTACATTGAGTGATGTCAGTTCTTAACTTTTAACTTGCAAACACTCGCCTAGGAATAATAAATGAATCCCTAAGTACGCTGGCTCCAGTGCGTTTGTCTGTTCTGTTCAACTAACAAACGTTAAACATCTGTTATATACAAGAGGTTGGGCTCAACTTGCCAGGAATATAAAGATACATCAGACTTTTCCTACAGTACCTCACAATATACAGCTATCAGCCTATAAGAGGAAGGAACTGGCCTTATAGTATTGAAATGTACAAAGCACTTTCAGGTAAATTACACTTAAAAAAAAGGCAGTATTGACAGTGGTTAAGAAAATGTTCCCATCAATCAGGACCCTTACAAATATGAGCACATCTATGTTAGTTTTCATTATTTGAATTTATTATTATATACATGTTCTACTTTTGAAAAAAAAAAAAAAAGAAAAAAATAGTTCAGGGAGAAACTGGTTAACTGAATCTGACTGAAATCTGAATGAAGTCTTTCAGTTGATCTTGCTGATTTCAACACAAAATCTAATTTGCTCTGTCCAGTACCTACCAAGAAGACAGAACTTACTATTTCCCCTCATCATGCATTTATTCACTTAACTCTGTATTCTACAGACCATTTTATTTATTTTTTAAATATAGTTTATTGTCAAGTTGGTTTCCATATAACACCATCCAAACAAGTGCCCTCCTCCATGCCCATCACCCATTTTCCTCTCTCCCCCATCCCCCATCAACCCTCAGTTTGTTCTCAGTATTTAAGATTTAGTCTCTTGTGGTTTGTCTCCCTCCCTCTCCTTAACTATTTTTTCCCCTTCCCCCACCTATGGTCTACAGACCATTTTAAACACCCAGTATGTGTAAGGGCCTGAATTAGAAACTTAGTAGTATTCAAAGATTATTCAAGTAAGTGATCTAACAGATTTACAGACAATGTGCTATGAGGTTACACAGCAGAGGGAGGAATCATATCAAGCTGGAGTGTGACCTGGCTATTCCCCCTAGCTGCCTGCCTGGGATGGACCCCAGACCCCACTGGCACCTGGGTGGCCCCACCCCATAGCACAGCACGTCAATACACAACTACTGACAGTCAGGTGACCAGAATATTAGCGGAATGTGCCGTCACACACAGCTCAGGCTCCCATCGTGCAATCATCCAGGGGAAACAGGCTTAGGAGTGTGATAAGTCAAATAAGTCCAGATGACAATGGAAGAGATGTCCTTGGTGCACTGTTAAGACAATGTCTCCTCTGGGGAAGGAGAAGAGAGAGGGCTGAAGATTGATCTGAACAGGGAAGGACTTTTTCCCTTACAGAGACTTGGGTTTATTTAGACATCTGCTTCCTGAACAGAAGCAGCACTGCTAGGGGATAGTTTTCCTCTGTCCCCAGTGCTATTCTCCTGATGCTTATTACAAGTCAAGTAGAAATACAGCACTCTCCTCAAGGAGAAATATTCTCTCATTTTGACTGTCATGTCAGGGAGAAGGCAGAGGAAGGAGGCTATTTGCTCATAGTGTGAATTTCTTCTTGTTTCCTCCATAGCCCAAAATTAAATAAATAAATAAAATAAAAAGAATAAGGCCGTGGAATTTCCAAGTGCTGGGCACAGCTGGTGAAGGAGGCAGTGTTTTCTGGACAAGCAGCCCACTACCTAGCAATTAATTTCTAAATCCATCATTTAATTATCAGTCCAAAAGAACACTGAAAATGAAGAGCACTGCTCCATTTACATATTTAATCGGATTAGACTGCTGACTTTCAGATCCCGGCAATTAACTGGTCTCTGTGTCCCTTTTCCAATACTTAAGTGATTAATCTCTTATATTCATTCCCTGATATTTTATGTTGGAAAATTAATTGTTCTTTCTCAGCATCATTATATGGGGAGGTGAGTGCAGACAAGTTAGCCACTTGCTGTCCTAAATAATGATGATTCCATGAAGAAGCTGTGTGAGATTCTAGCTAGTAAGAGTATATAAATACGAACCTCCTATTTTCCTTTTAAATATGAAATCAACTGAGTGAAATCTAATGAACATGTTCCCTTTACAGTTATATGAGGTAAACAAAGAAGGTATTCTTCCACTGAATATAATGTGATCATCTGTTCACTAAGGAAAACCAGCATTTCCCAAAACTCCCCAGTGAGGTTCTGTATTTCCTAGTATGATCTCAAAGGAGATTCAAGTTTAAACCCGGACAGGCTAAGTTTGAGAGGCAAAACAACATCAGCAATAAAGCAAAGCCAACCTGATGGAATCTTAATGTAAAATACACTCTTGCTATTAGCAAAGGCTTCCACAAAGTCTCCAAACCTTTTAGAATGATCCCAAACCGACCTCATCAAGATTAAAAGCTTCTGCACAGCCAAGGAAACAACCCAGAAAATTAATAGGCAACCAACGGAATGGGAAAAGATAGTTGCAAATGACATATCACATAAAGGGTTAATATCCAGAATCTATAAGGAACTCACCAAACTCCACGCCCGAAAAACAAACAACCCAGTGAAGAAATGGGCAGAAGATATGAACAGACACTTCTCCAAAGAGGACATCCAGATAGCCAACAGACACATGAAACGATGCTCAGCATCCCTCCTCATCAGGGAAATACAAATCAAAACCACACTGAGATACCACCTCACGCCAGTCAGAGTGGCTAAAATGAGCCAATCAGAGAACTCTAGATGCTGGCGAGGATGTGGAGAAACGGGCACCCTCCTACACTGTTGGTGGGAATGTAAACTGGTACAGCCCCTCTGGAAAACAGTGTGGAGGTTCCTCAGGAAACTAACAATAGAACTCCCCTAGGACCCAGCAATAGCACTGCTAGGAATTTACCCAAGGGATACAGAAATGCTGAGGCATAGGAGCACATGTACCCCAATGTTCATAGCAGCACTCTCCACAATAGCTAAACATGGAAAGAGCCTAAGTGTCCATCAACAGATGAATGGATCAAGAAGATGTGGTTTATCTATACCATGGAATACTACATGGCAATGAGAAACAATGAAATCTGGCCATGTGTAGCAACATGGATGGACCTTGAGGGTGTTACGCTGAGCGAAATAAGTCAGGCAGAGAAGGACAAATATCATATGTTTGCACGAATAGGAGGATTAGGAGGAACTTGATGGAGGAACAAGGGGGAGAAGAAGGGGGGAAATGGTGGGGGAAAGGGAGAGAGGCAAACCATGAGAGACTCTTGAATGCTGACAAAAACTGAGGACTGATGGATGTGGGGGGAGGGGGGATGGGCATAGAGGAGGACACTTATGGGGATGAGCACTGAGTGTTATGTGGAAACTAATTTGAAAAAAACTATTTGTAAAAAAAAAAAAAGAATGATCCCAAACCAATTCACCTTGAAAGATGTCACATGAGGTCACCCAACAACCAGAAAGGACTAGGAATGTACACAAAGTAGGTGGTTCCATTAATGGTATGACAGAACACAGAGAAACAGTCTAGAATTGTGACATAAGAGAATAGTTTCTGGAACAGGAGAGAGCTGGCTGTGTGCCCCAGGTGTGTGGACTTCAGCAGGGTACTAACCTCACCTAAATCACAGGTGCATCATCCTCTAAAATGGGGCTAATAATGACACCCATTTCAGAGGGTATGGCCCAAAAGGATTCAACGAGATACTGCAAGTAAGGAATTTAGCCCAGTGCCTGGTAATGTTAGTGGTTATTTTAATACCTCATCGCTAAGCAATGTAGCCCACTGTCCTGAGGCCAGAAATAATTGTAGCCTTTATTATATTTTAAAATTTCCAAACTTTATTAAAACTCAGAAGACAGGGTGGGTAGCAGTAGTTTTAGTAGCAACTCAACATTTAAGACTGTGTCACTTGGAACTCAGTCTGCCTAATTCTCTCATGAACTGTAACATTAGCCAGTTCCCACACTGAAAATAGTCAATCTTGCTCACCAGGTCACTGTCATTCATTCTAACCCAACCTGGAATGGTAGGATTTTGAATAAATACATTTGATGGGGTAAAAGGACCTTGAATTTGGGGTAACCATCATGATTCTCTAGGATACCAGAAATCAACCTGGAGTCAAGAAGGACTACTTCAGCAGACAGCAAGCCATGTGCAAATTTCCAACTGTATTCATTCCACTTAACAAACATGTGTTGAGGGCCTACATGATGCCAGGAGCTGGAGCTTTTCCTCTTTTCCTACTGAAGCTGCAAAAAGTTCAAGCCCATACTGAATCAAGCAGAAGAAATTATTTGGATACTTCTCAAAATCTCGAGTGCCCAGTTTCCATTGCCCTCGGCAGCTGGAACAAATTAGCGCTGGGACACAGACTTTGAAGGAAGGTTTTAGAAGCTCAAAACAAAAGAAAATCTATTTTTAAAGAAAATTATCTTTACTTTTCTGATGTTTAAAGCAATTTATGCTTCTATTTAAGTTTTTCAGAAAATACAAAAAGGCAAAAGTAAGAAATAAAAATCTCCCATTGTCCCCCCACCCAGATATTATCACTGATATAGGTGCTACAGATTTTTCTATATAAACATATACATATAACCAGGCATACATATATAGAACTATAAACACACATGTAAAAGATAAACACATAAACTGCTCTGCAATCTGATTTTTTCACTAAATGCATAATGAATCTGTTTCCATGTTAATAAATAAGGATTTAAATTTGCCTTATCACTTTTAATGGTTCCACTGTTCTTCACTGTGTGAAGGCGCTGTACTGTATTCCACCAAACCCTCTCACTGAATGGTTAAGTGATTTTCTGTTTTTCTTTTTTTTTTAACTTATTTACTCAACAACTAAGCATAGGCACCTGCCACATGCCTGAACTGTTCAGAGACTGCAGCTACAACCATGAGCAAGAGGGGCAAAATTTTTGTCCTTATCAACCTTACAATCTAGAGAGGGAGGGTATTAATAAAATGAGGCAGAAGAAGGGGATAGAGAAGGGCAAAAGGTGACTATGCTTGATAGGAGAGACACATATATTTAATTGTATAAAATATAATACTGCTTTGCATTTGCTCAGGTACAAAAATCTGACAGTCTTAATTTTATTATCAAGTTACCATTAATTTCCTACTCTCTGATAGCCTTGATAGGATGGTCTTGACGTATATAAAATGCCTTCAAGTGGGTTCTCATTGCCCATGTCCTAGAAACCTCTCTGGTCTCTGGTAAAATAAATAGTAATAATAATAATAATAATAATAATAATAATAATAATAATGGAAAATTTTTTCCTTAACTTCATCTCCTTGCTGCCCAAAATGAATATCAGCCTTTGAACCAGCAGCCAGAGGCGTCCCTCCTCATCCGAGATGGAAGACCAGGGTGTCTTCATGGGCCTTTTTCTCTGTTCAAACTAAAAGGTTACACAGGCAGCTACCATACTGCATCTCACCAAACATATGCTACTATTAATGAGTTGTGGTGGCGGTGTGGTTAATATTTGATAGCCACCCACCTACTGTCCTTGTCAAATATTTGCTTTGCTTTGCTGGAGTGCTGCCGGTATTCTTCATCAACCCAGGCAGGTTTCTGGAAAAACAAGTAGCTCAGGCCTGTGATGTTGTCAGAATCTACAGTGAATGCAAAGATGAGCCCTGATGCTGTATATGAGTGGGGACATTAAGAAGAAAAATCTCCTCTGTGAGCTTGGATCTAACAGTTCTCTAATCAACTGTCAGTGCTTGCTACTTCAAAGGGCCATCAGCCAGCACAAAGGGCAGAGGAACCTTCAGCCAGCACCTGAAAACCTGAGCCTCTGTGATGTGACCAAACAGCAGCTAACATTTACTGAGTGTCTTGTACATGGTAGGCATCACTCCAAGTGTCTTATGGTAGTAGCACACAATAGCACTTGGAGGTAGGCAATATTATTACTCTTTTACATATTTTTTTAATGTTTGTTTATTTTGAGAGAGAGCACGCAGGCAAGCAAGTGGGGAAGGGGCAGAGGGAGAATGAGAGAGAGAATCCCAAGTAGACTCCATGCTTCACAGCACAGGAACTTGATCTCAGGTCCATGAGATCATGACTGGAGCCCAAATCAGGAGTCAGACATTTAACCAACAAAGCCACCCAGGAGCGCCTATTACTCTCTTGTTAGAGACAAGGAAACTAAGACTTAAGAAGTGTAGTAACTTGCCCATGTTATAGATCTAGTCATCAATTCAGGCGTTCTGGCTCCACAGTCAGTGCTCTGAAATATGACAGCACAAGTGCACACACACTCCATTCCCCACGTATATACCACACATCATCTATACTTATACTAAGCGCAGACCACACCACGTACACATATCTCACCCCATACATACACACCACATCACACATACCCCACTCACCATACGTACATCCCCACAAATATCACACATATGCCACATACCACACATTCATCACCTGCGGCATACATGCACAAACCTCACATGCCCCATGCATCAGGCACACATGGTATTATCACACACCACACACAGTACATCTCACATAAACACATCACATGTCATATACACTACATACCACATACCCACCATACACACCACATACCTACTACCCCAGCGCTACATACCATACATATATGAACCACACATACATACCAGGCACACAGTATGCACACACTCACACATATATTCCCACATGCATCCCCAAACTGAGCTAAGAACTAAATAGTAAACACCATGAATAAACTGCTTATAAAAGAATTTCAAGATACGTGAAGGCCCATTTCTTCTGCGATGAAGTGAAGGTGGTAGCATACATGCTTCAAAGGGTGAGGCTGGGAGGTGTCTGTGATACATCGTTATGTGTCAAGGGAGATCTAGCATGGCACCATTCTGCTGCTGCGGAGCTCAGATGAGGCTCGGGTCCAGGAGGATAAGTCACAGCCACACACTCCCCCTAGGGACGCACAGCTCAAGGTATGTCCACAGACTAGATTCCCCTGGGACTAGAAAGGTGGTCCGTACTCTGCAGCATGACTTTCAAAGCCTTCATCTATTCCATCTCCCTGGGACCTGCCCTCTTCAATGCCCTCTTTGGGCTCACTAAAGGACTCGCTCCCTTGTGCATGCCTGCCCCTGCCCCACCTGATACGACATCTGTCTTATTTTTTCCAACTTGAACTCAAACCACCCACTCTGGCTAGCTTAGTTGTTCTGATACCATGACGGTTCCTTTAACTCGGCATCTCCCACCAACCTTTCTGTCCCCTACACTTCTACAGTATGTATTATCTCTACCACCTGCTAAGCATTTTGATACATGTTGTACCGCATTGTTAGCTATGTCAAAAGATGTTTAAAATGCTGTATTATATTCTAGTTTCCTGGAGACCCACTACCCATTTATTATTCAGTGCCTCTCATTGCTTTAGAAGGATGGCAAAACAGCACTCGTTGGCTTTGAGGTTCAAAACAGGATTCTGAAACTTGGAAATAAATGGGATCTTCAAAGAAAGGTGCTTTTGATTTGTGAGAAATCGCCTTTTGGCGAGAGAAAAGGTTTGTTAAATTCTAAAATCTTGCCTTCAGCTATTAAGAACTAAGACCCAGGAGAGATATAAAGATTATTTGATAAACACAGTTTTCGGATGAATGTATAATGATCTAAAAGGACGTTTTCCCATCCCAAACAAGGTAAAGTGCAATGGCTGAGGAAGGAGAGAAAACTAGGGAGGAGAAGTGACAGTTTAAGCAACAGGATGGTGTTACTCTGCTCTGCAGTCTCAGCCTGGGTCTTCCCAGACACTCAGAGAAACTTGAGGGATATGTGGTGGCTGGACCCCACTTTCCAGAGGCAGAAACCTTACAGGCAGAGAAACCTTCTCTAACTAGCAGAAGGTATGAAAACACTGAAAACAAAATGGGAGTGCCATACGAAGGAACAGGGTCTCCCCACAGTCTTACCAAGGCATTAGAGGGTCATGGGGAGTGTGCGCTGGTAAAGATTTATCAACTAGCTCTCTTGAAAATAAAAATCTTTCTTAGAGTATAGCAGGCAGGATAATGACTCCTCACAGAAGTCCTAAGCCCCAGAAGCTGTGAAGATGTCGCCTCAGAGAGCAAAAGGAACTTTGCAGATGTGATTAAGTCAAGGACCTTGAGATCCTCCTGGATTATCCAGATGAGAGAAAGTGAGAGAGGTCAAAGCAGAGAATAAATTTCTGTTGTTTTAAGCTACCACGTGTGCAGTAATATGTTACAGAATCAATAGGAAACTAATACGTGGAGTTTTAAAATGGCATAAAGATTCCCCAAGGCTAATTTCAAGCTACCAAAGTGATGTTATTGAACACAAGAGGGGAAGCTTCACAGTCAGCCCTTGTGAGCTGGTATATGCGGACTCCAGTATACCAGCTGACTCACCTGGGTGAGAGAGCATTTGAGTTT